AGAAACAAAAAACAAAATAAACTTAACAGGCTGTGCAGATGCATAGCAGAATCTCATGGTCATTGTGGTAAAGGTCTGGACAGGTAAAGGTCTAGTTTCCAAACCAGGATGATACAAGAATCGTCTGGGAAAGTTTTTAAAAAGTACAGTTTTTGACCTCTGTCTCAGTCATCGAATCAGCATTTCTGGAAGTAGCTTTTCCAGGACCCACGGTACAAGAACAGTGATGCAGTAACAACAGCTTTTGCACCATAAATTCGTACAGGAAGGGATGCAAGTGGAAGAGTACGCGGCTGTTTATGCCGGATCAGTGAAAGCGTTACATTTGAAAGAGCGCTCACACATTACTCCTCGCCACTGAAAGTTATGGAAGGTGCCCTCTTGGCCCTAGCGTCATCTTTCTAGAAACCTCCGCTCCATGAGAGCCAAGTGGAGGAAGAAGTGAATGTTCAGGTGGAAGCACAAAAGGAAGAGGCAGAGGTCCAAGTATGCCATTTGATTGTGCACATGTGAAGGCCGCAGGAGCAGCAACAGGGAACGCCAGAGCCTGGGGATGCTGGGACAAGTTGCTGGACTGCATGCCACTGTCTAGAACTTACGTCTCAGTGGATTTAGAACTTGTCATCCGATCGCCAAGACCGTCTCTGAGACAGCCATCTTGCTCGTACCAAAACAGTCCCTACTGGTCCTTTGCCCTGGACCTGACATTTTGGACTAGTTCTGTTCTCAGTTGTGGCTGAGTGTAACAAGTATACAATAAATCATATCTTCTGCTGTTTAAAAAAAAAAAATTTATAGAAGGTAAGGAGTTAACTCCTTCTGAACTCCTGCTGAGTATTAGAGAAGCAGTATGTCAGAGAATCAGTACCTGGACTGTAGAGCCAGATTTGCCTGGGTTCAAATCCCAGCCCTCCCACTTACTATCTGAGGACCGTGAACAAGTTATTTATCTTACTCTATACTTCATTTTCCTCATCTGCAAAGTGGGGATGATAATAGGACCTGTCTCAGGATTGTAGTGATGTTTAAATGGCCTAGTAAAGGTAAAGCGTTGAGAATAGTGCCTGGTACACAGAAAGGTTTGCTCAATGTGAATTGGTTATGATTATTATTTGTCATTATTATTATTACTATTCCATGCCTGGTACTTTCTATTTGTTACATCTTTTTTTCCTAATAACATTCCTTTGAAGTAAATAATATCCTCAGTCTACGGATGAGAAAATAGATGATAGAGACTTAGTTTGAGTCTGAATCATGAGACTCCAAAATCTATACCCTTTCTACAATATTATTATATTATTCTAAAAGGTAATTAATGTCTAGAATTAAGATGATTTTTTAAAATTTTATTTCAGGAAACAATTTCTGATCACTGTGTAGTGATTTTCTCAAAAACATCCTGTTCTTACTGTAAAATGGCAAAAAAGCTTTTCCATGACATGAATGTTAACTGTAAAGTGGTGGAATTGGACACGCTTGAACATGGAAGCCAATTTCAAGATGCTCTTTACAAAATGACTGGTGAAAGGACTGTGAGTATATCCTCTGCGGCGCTGTTTCTCCTCCATAGGCTGTGGTCTGGATTACCTGGAGTGTAGACCCTCGGGTTAGGAAAATGAGCCAGACGTTGTCCGAGTATCTTATATTGATAAAGAAACTGCGAATCTGGGACCTAGATTCTTGGAAGAGGAAGCAGCAGAGTTAATTCGTTTTATTTTTATTTTTACTGTGTGTGTGTGTGTGTGTGTGTGTGTGTGTGCGCGCGCGTGCATGCACGTGTGGGGTTTGGAGCAGGCGGGGTAATGGTGTTGTCGTAAGAGCTTGTCTGTGGTGCTTGAAGGTCCTCTTGGAGCTCTTTGCAAGATAAAAGTATCCCTCCTGCCTTCACTTGGACACTACAGACCGGGGTTGGCCTTCAAGTGCCGTGCTAGTAGGAGTGCTTTAGTGCTTCATGTGTATAGGCTCTTGCAATTTGTAGATTTTTCCATAATATGCATAATCAAAAAATACACAGTTTTGCCACTTTCCTTCTTGTTTATGTATGCATGGAAGAAGTTTATAGCCCATTCTTCTCCTTTAGTAAACAAATGTGAGATATAACCATTTAAACATTATTAATAATTAGACTTAGTTTATCTTTTATAAACCATAGTGATTAGGAAGAAGGGTTTTAGAATCAGATTGTCCTGGATTTGAATCCCAGCTCTTTCATTTACTATCATTGTGATCTTGAGCAAGTTCCTGGGCCTCATTTTCCTCCAAAATCAGGCCAAAAATGGTATCTACCTCAAGGGTTGTAAAGATTTAAAGAGCTAATTTGTGAAAGAGCTCAGTGTGGTGTCTGGCTCATAAAAGTACCCAGAGTGTGAACGTCTATTATGATGTGAAATGATCTTACAGTTCTGATGCTGGGGGAAGCCTAATCTGTCTTTTATTTGTCCAGCAGGTTCCAAGAGTATTTGTCAATGGAACTTTGATTGGAGGTGCGGCTGACACTCACAGGCTTCACAAAGAAGGGAAATTGCTTCCGTTAGTTCATCAGTGTTATTTGAAAAAAAGTAAGAGGAAAGAATCTCAGTGACATAGGTACTCAAAACTTTGCTGGTAAATGTCAGTTATGTAGAGTGATAATGCCTGATAGTGTCTTTAAAATGAGGATGTTTTAAATATATGAATTCTCTTCATGAAGAAGATGTAAAAATAATGAACAATAAATTGCAGTGGAAACCTCATCTTCCTACGTGCCGATTCTTGAGCAAAAGGGATGGTATTTAAAAGATAAGGAAAGAATGTGTTTTATTAGGAATTTATGTACGAATTTTACAACTGATAGCTAGAAGATAAGCATTTGGAATTCTTTATTCCCTATAGTATTCAGAAAGAGTTAACTCTACCTTCCATAGCTTTCAGTGGTAAAGACTGATGTGTGATTTCTTTAGAATTTAAATTTCTCTTAGTGATACAGTTGTGAAGTAGGTAGGGATATCTTGTACCATATTGTGACAAACCTTCACATAGAAGCATATTAAATTTGTAGCATGGAATGAAATTTATCTTAGAGAAACTCAATTACTCATTTAATGACTTAGTAGTTCCAGGGAACAGAACTGTACCTATGGGCAGAAATTAAAAGGAAGATTTCAGCATTTTATGAGGATGCACTTTTGAAACAGTTCAGGAATATGCTTGAATTATATTCTGAGGTGAAGAGTTCTGCTTTCCAGAATATGTTTAACGGCTGTTGGAAAAGTTACATAAGGGAACCAGGTATTGGATGGGAAGCTAGACTGAATATCCCTGGAGTCACTTCTGATGTTGATACTGTACAATTCTGTTGACTGGGAATACTATTCAAGCTGATTTCATCTAAGATAGATTTAGCCAACAAGATTTATCCTATAGGAAGTCTTATTTTAGAATAATTGAAAATACTTTTAGTACTTTATTGATCAAGTCATATTTTTAACTTCTTATCAACAAGACTTTTTTAAGTGCCTAGTATAGAAAGTATTAGTTGATACCACAGAGTAACATGGGGCAGATTACCAGGTTCTGAGAAGAGAAGGCTCTTCCTTTGAAGTGGAAGGAAAATGGATTTTAAGAGTGGGTGCTTCTGCTTTCTGGTCAGATAGACCAGGGAATCTGGAACAGTCCTGAGGAAGACAGCTGGTGGCTTTCTTGGCCATTTGCTATCAATGATGTTTCCTACATAAACTTAAACTGCCGTTAGGAGACTTGATAAAGCAAGAATTCAGGTTCATTCCATGTGACAATTTGAATTATAACACACAACGGCACAGAAAATGGAATGTCTTTAGTTCTTTATTTTGCATTATGTCATGAGAATTGATAGAGTTGAAGAAGTCTTTTACCTATGAGAAAGATAAAACTGTAATTGTATGTCGTCACTGTTGATCATATTAGGTATCAAGGTATCAGTTTACTTCAAGGTGTACAAACACTGACCAGGTGGCGTTGATAGTGCTCAACTGTGAAGAAACATATTTTATCAACTCTTCCTAGAATGATAAAGGAAAGAAGGGTGAGGGGTGAGTGTTGGTTGATTCTTGATTATGTTCAGATCTTGAAATAATTCAGTATGAAGGAGAGAAACCTTATCATCAAGAGGCTCAAAAACTCTAGTGAAGGTAATATGGTAAGAGATAATCACTTGTGGCTTTATTAATTGATTGATTTACCTTTTTTTTTTTTTTAAATAGAGATGGGATCTCACTCTTGCTGCGTCTTATCTTGAACTCCTGAGCCCAAGCAATCCTCCCACCTCGGCCTCCCACAGTTCTAGGATTACAGGCGTGAGCCACTGTGCCCAGCCCAGTTGTGGCTTTATTTAAAAAAGAAATAAACCCTTCCAAAGCCTGCCTCTTAGTCTTCTGATCTTTATACTTAGTGAATAATAAAAAAAGATTGTGGCTGGGTGTGGTTGCTCACATCTGTAATCTCAGCACTTTGGAAGGCTGAGGCAGGAGGATCGTTTGAAGCCAGGAATTTGAGACCAGCCTGGGTAACATAGTGAGACCCTATCTCTACAAAAATATAAACACTAGCCAGGTCTGGTGGCATGTGCCTATAGTCCTAGCCACATGGGAAGCTGAGGCAGGAGGATTGCTTGAGCCCAGGAGTTCAAGGCTGCAGTGAGCTATCATTGCACCACTGCTCTCCAGTCTGGGGCGAAAGAGTATACCCGGCCTCTTAAAAAAGAAAAAAAAAGATTGTTAACTTTTGAGGGCTTTGAGGGTCTAGCACTGCATTAAAAACCAAGCATTTAGCAAGAGTCTCCTAATTGTTAAATGCTAAGGGATGACCAAAAATATGAGAAATCTGATCTCTTTTTGGCCGTATGGCAGATTAAATGTCTTTGAAAAACCCCCAAAACAATAAAAAGAAAGTTGCCACATTAAAACTTTTAAAATGTTGGATACAATATTAAAATTTTTTTTTTTTTAATGCAGGGCTAGGCTGGTTTTAAAAAAGTACAGGACCTCTGCAAGGGAAAAACAAAACCAGGAGCATACATAATGTAAGCAAGCACTTAAGCCACCAGCTACCCTAACATGTCAATTCTGGAATACTAAGAGCTTTAAATTTAACTGTTTATTCCTGGGGCTAGTTACAAAGCTGGGGGTTAAGGGAGAGGGATTTAGATAGGGGACCACAACATAAAACCACTAAATCACCAATGAAAAAAATACTGAGTACTTTCTGAGCATATAATAGCTATTAGAGCAAGACAGACAAGCATTCAAATCACTAATGGTGTAACCAGCAGGTAAGTGACTTAACCTCTCAGAATGTCTGGTTTCTTATAAAATATGGATAGCATCTTTCTTTAGGAATTGTGTTGAGGAATGGAAATAACACAAGTAAGTTACCCAGAATGGTGTTCAAAGGAGAGTAGATGCTCAAAATGTAATGGCTATTATTAATCATGATCGTTCAGATATATGTGTGGTTTTCTTATGGACCCATCAGGGTTTTCCAGGGTACCCCCACGCCCGGCTAGTCAAAATTTTAGAGGGACAGGGGAGCCTCTAAGCTTTCATGTTGCCTTGGATGTTGATTTCTATTTCTTCTCCCTTTCCACACCTTACAGCTGGATAAAAATACAATATAAACCTAAAGCAAACTAGGTTGTTTGAGCCGATCTGTTTTTTTTCCCAGAGCCATAGCTAGAAAGAAGAGAATGGTGACTAATTTAAGGAAATTTAATTTTTTTCTCTAGTCCTCTTATTTTTAATGTTAAGATCGGAAAGAAAAACTGTGTACTGCAGTCCATTAATATTAAAAAATGGGCCATTTGTCTTTTCATTTTTATCACTAGATAATTTATACTTTAACTGCCAAAATATCTGTAATTAGGAAGTTACTGAGGAAGAAACGGATCTTTTGTATCTAGATTTTATTGTTGACTAATATTATAAAAGTCATTATTTGAACAATATTTTTTAAAGTCAGATTTTCTTGGTAAGATTTAATATTGTTAAAATTTATTAAATCTAGTTTTCTTTATGAAGAAAGGTAGTTTGGAATCTTCCTTTTTCCATACAACTGTTGACTCTAGCTTTAAATAGAGAACTGTGAAATCAACCAAATGTCTGAAGTTTGGGTGGGTATATTCTGATGTACTTGCTCTCACTCTTCTGCATTACCTACAGCTACTAGATCTTAGAACTTTTCAGAACTTACAGGAATTGAGAGAGAAATTTCTGCAAATTGGCACTGAAACAAAATGTTTTTATCTGTGTAGTTGACTTTTTTGTGTTGGCATGATTAATTTTTCCCAAAGGCAATTCTAAGTGGATTTTTTTCACAAAAGAATCCTGTTTTAAAACTCTTAAGAATTTGCATTTGGATTTAATCTTATTGTTTTTATCCTGTAATTGAACTCCACTGGAAAAGAATCCTTAACCACATATACTTTACTTAAATAATAGTTATATACAAATAGAGGCATTAAAAGGCCACTGTTAATTACTGATTAACGTAATAAACTTAATTCGAAAAACTTGATTTTACCTCTTCACATATAACAGATTAATTCCTAAAGGCCTTAGATAACTCCCAATTTCATACTTCTTGAAAGAAAAAGGAGTCAGTTATTTGATGTGCAAAGAATTTATTTGGTGCACCTATGAATGTCGGTAGAAATAAACTGACCAGAACCAGCTCACACAGTGCCCGCCCGCACGCCACGTCGAAAGCGATTTATTCAGTAGGATATTTTGCAAGGCTAGAAAAGTCAAGATTTCACAGTACCAGTGAAAACTGTTTTATCATGAAATCAACTTAATACATTAGTATATTCATCCATTCCCTATCAGATAACGGCAAAGTTACATTGTTACGTGTATTATTTACAGTGAAAACTTGGAAGACTTGACAAAGCATCAGTTAGTTTGTCAGCAGACCTAGGAAACTCCCTGGCCCCCGTGCCTTCAGGATCCTTTCCTTGGAAATGAAATAAACTTGTTATAAATAAAACTTTATATACCTTTAAGCACCAGCTTGACAATTTAAAATTTTCTTTCAGTTTTATAAAATATTCTTGCTTTGAAAGGCAAAGTGGATGTAAAAATATGAATGTAATTAAACAAATCACTGGCCTGGATACTTTTTATTGCAATAGTCCTGATGTTTTACTACTATGTATTCACTTCCTTGAATGAATTTCCTTATAGCTTTGAAACAAAATATTTGCCTTTTGTCTTGAAAAATTCCTTTTAAAGATTAATCATTTTTGGAACTGTACAACTGCATTTCTCACTCATAGCATTAAATATGCAACTTGGTCCTTAGAGGTTACATTATAGTCATAAAGTCCAGCTTCTTGGATAATTTGTTATACAAAATAATAAAAAAACCTTAAACGACCACAAAATCTTAACAATCATGTATGTATAACACATCAGTATACCCAGATTATACTGTTAATGGGCTTTTAAATTACCAAGATACAATCAGGTTTTAAAACTTAATAAATTCCCATTATGTAAAATTAAAAGCTCTAAAAGACTCTTTTGAGTTCTGTACTTCAGAAACATTAGAACACTATTAAGGCATTAATTAATAAACAGACCCCAAGGAAAGTAACTAGTATGCCTGAACTGGAGGAGCAAGTCATAGTTTAAGGCAGTCAAAAAGTTCATTTTTTCACTTTAAGGCTCTTGAATACTTAAATTTATTCTATGCAGACATTATTCTGTGTAAATACTCA